AGCAGCAGCAGCAGCAGCAGCGACTGCAGCAGCAGCAGCAGCAGCAAATCCCTGAAACTGTTCAGCTGCATCTTGCTGTCTTATAAAATGCTTTTGGGGTTTCTATTGGGTGGATCGTGCAGCAGCAAGCAACTGTTGCTGCTGCTGCTGCTGCTGCTGCTGCTGCTGCTGCTGCTGTTGCTGCTGCTGCTGCTGTGGCTTGACAGCTGCTGTTCTCGCGTCTCGTTGTCTTTGGTGGTTTGTGTGTAAACAGAAAAAGGGTTTACACGCCAGGTGTATGTACACCTCAAACCCTAAACCCTAAACCCTAAACCCTAAACCCTAGAACTCTCTCCCCACGGTTCAGCTGTCGGCTGTGTCTGCGACTGTGTTGTCTGTGTGTTGTTTCTTTTTTTTTTTTTATGAAAAGAAAAAAATAAATTAAAATAAATTGTTTTTGTTTTCTTTGTGTTGCTGCTCTATGTGCTGAGGTGTATAGGCAGCTGCGCATACACCGCAGGGTACGCGGACGGGGGTGAGCCAGCTGGTGTTTTATGTGTTTGTTTACGAGAAAAAAAAGAAAAAAATAAAATAAATAAATTAAAATTAATAAATTATTTATTTTTCTTCTTTTTTATACAAAAATATACACAAATTTATACACAAAACAACGCCCCCCTCCTGGGTGCCTGCAGCCGCCACACTGTCTATACATACATATATATAAGTAAACAGCTGCTGCTGTGTTTTTGTCTTATTTTTTCTCGTTTTTCTCTTATTTAATAAATAAAATATATTTAAAATATTAATTTATTCTTTTTATTTAAATAAATTAAATAAATTATACTCTTTTTATCCATAAAAAAGAAGAAATACAGATTACGTAGTATACACACACCGCCCCTGGGTGCTTGTGGGGTGTATAGGCACCTCCATTTATATATATTTTTATTTATTTTTTATTTATTTTTTATTTTTTTATGTTTTTTATTTATATTAATATATTTTTAGTTATATATTTAGTACACACAAGCAAAAAAAAAGAAAAAGACAAATACTGATGCTGCTCTCTCTGTCTCTTCTCTGTCTCCTTCTCTGTCTCTCTCCTTTTTTTTTTTTATTTTTATTTAATTTATTTTTTTATTTATTTTATTTTTTATTTGTTTATATTCTTCTGTTTCTTTATCTGTCTCTCTTTCTTTCTCTCCTATTTCTCTCTCTTTATCTGTCTCCCTTTGTCTCCTCTGTCTCTTTGTTTTTTTTTGTTTCTTTCTGTCTTTATTAAATATTTTATTTTATTTTATTTTATTTTTATTTTATTTTATATTTTATTTTATATTTTATTTTATTTTGTATATTTTTTATTTTTATTGTTTCTATCCTCTTGTGCTTTTCTCTCTGTCTTTATCTCTCTCTTTTTTTATTTCTTTTGTCTCCTTTTCTCTTCTCTTCTTGCTGCTGCATGCATGCATGCATGCATGCATGCATGCATGCATGCATGCATGCATGCATGCATGCAGCAGCAGCAGCAGCAACAATATACACGCATGCACGCCCAGAAGAGAATATATATTTGTGTGTGTATAAACATAAAAAGATAAATTTAATTTTTGTTATTAAAAATTATAACAAAACGTAAAATTAATAAATACATATATGCATGCATGCATGCATGCATATATGTTTACACAGCCCCACGCATGCATGCATGCATGCATGCGTATGCATGCATGCATGCGTATATATGTTTACAAAGCCCCACGCATGCATGCATGCATGCATGCATGCGTATATATATTTACCCAGCCCCATGCATGCATGCATGCACGCATGCATGCGTATATGTTTACACAGTCCCACACATGCATGCATGCATGCATGCTTATGCATGCATGCATGCATAACAGCCCCTGCTTCGCTGCCTATCTGTCTGTCTGTCTGCAACAGCAGCAGCAGCAACAGCAACAGCAGCAGCAGCACCTGCTGCTGCTGCATACATGCATGCATGCATGCATGCATGCATGCATGCATGCATGCATGTTATTGTTTTTGTTTAAATATAAAATTAACGAGAGGTGGTGTAGTTTTGGCGAGTATGCTGGTGATGGTTTTTCCTTTATTTTCTTCTTTTTTTATTTTTATTTTTACTTTATCTATTTGTTTTATTTTATTTATTAGGGTTTTAGGGTTTAGGGTTTCTCTCTTTTTCAGGTGTATAGACACCCGGTGCCTACCATCCAGTTGCACAGACACATGACACAGCTTCTCTCCTTCTGCTGCTGCTGCTGCTGCTGCTGCTGCTGCTGCTGCTGTTGCTGTTGCTGCTGCTGCTGTTGTTGTTGTTGCTGCTGCTGTTGCTGCTGTTTTATCTGCTGCAGTTCCTTCTTCTGCTGCTGCTGCTGTTGGTTTTCATTTTGGTGGTGTTTCTGTATCTGCTGTAGTTTTTGTGTTTGCTGC